TTTCCAAGTCATTCCATTTTACAAACATATAAACATGATATTTCTATAGAAACATCATTTTCAAGAAGCTTTCATTTTGACCCCTTTCCATCAAAACTCACACTACACAAACATTAGCAACTTTCTTTTAACCTGATACCTGATATACTTGAAATGAATATACTAAGTTTCAAATCAGCGCATTAATTAAAGCACTTTCAGAGCTGTCAAAATTTCGCTTAGAGTCATTGCCGGTCATTAAAAGACGCATAAAAAAAATCGATGTTCTTTTGTTCTTTGTGTCTCACACTGATGGCGTCGGACTATAAAAAGCATGACAATTCCTTCAGTATTTTGGTATACAGTTGTTTCGTCCTCGTTAGGCGGAATATACTGATTATTTTCACTAGACTCTCCTCCACCTGAAGCCATTTTTCCCACAATATCAAATCCTGACGCTTCTGAACTGACTGTACAGTACACCAGCAGAAACTGTCAAAACGATCCCGTTGACGATCTCCCTGTCCGGGACAAGTAAACAAGAGAGAATGAATTTTTTTCAGGTCCTATTTTCAACTACTAGTTCAGTAGTGTTCTTAGCTGCGAGGATCTCTTAATTTCGTGTTTTATAACATTTTCAACCCAATGGAAAATTTTTTTTCTCAAGGGATTTGTTTGCTGACCTCACGAGCATGCACAATTGAATTTGATTAGACAAATTTACAAGCTATGTTATAAAGGTAGTTGACGCAAGAGTGTAGCCATGACGCTCTCTTTTGTAACGCAAACACAATTGAAGACAAAAAAAGGACCAAAACAAACAAACAGACAAATAAACAAACACATGAAAACTGTAACTTTCCGCTTCATTGTTTATTAAATCCAAAATGAAGACAATTACAGTCCTTGAACCTTTTTTATCTCTTTTATCAGTGACATTCTAGCTGGAAAAATTGACCATCAATCTCTGAGATACATACCCTAATGCGGCGATTTGATCGGTGCAAGCAACATAACACTCTACACATTAACATAGTTTTTTTTTTTACATTAAAAAAATAATAATAATAACAATTCAAAAAGGTTTTTCCCTAAACTTTGGAAAAAACTGTCTTCCCATTCGTTAGTTGTTGTACCAAAATTTTTTTCCCGAGGGAAGTGAGTCCCTCGCAAGTAGTTTGGAATAAAAGTCCACTAGTTCACTAGTAAGAGTGCCTCTCTCCCTTGACTGCTACAGCGTAAATTTGGGAAAAACTTGGTCTCTCGCTTTCCGTAAACTGAGAATAGAGAATGCCAACTCGTGTTCCCTAAACTAAACCCCCCCCTCCCTTACCTTTCCTCGTTGGCGGCATCAAAAAAACGTGGAGGAAATGGAGGTGTCACAATAACAGGAACTGTAGGAAGTATTCTTGGAGGCACAGTGATTGCAATTGCCTACTATATAACTTTACTGATGTTATTGACTATCTGTAGAATTATAGCTGTTCTGCCTCAATGGCTAATTATTTTGATTGGTTGTTTAGGAGGCTTTTTGGGAACAGCATTTGAACAACTGTCCAAATGGCAATTTCAAATACTATATTGCCTCAAATAAGTGCCCTCGCTCTAATAAGTGCCCTCTTCACATAACTGCCCTCCCCTTAGGCCATAATATGAAACAATTGCCCTTCAGATAACCACCCCTCCACCCTCACTACCTTAGATAGTAGAGATACAAGGAAAACCTGTTTCTATTGCCACCTTACTAATAACTTCGTAAGCTTCAACTACAGCAGAATCAATACAGGGTAATAGTTTCTTTATCAGCCTTCCCCCCTTAAACAAGCACCCTTCCAATATATACACCTCCTTTTAGTTGAAATTTGAAATAAGCACAGATGACATAGGTGCTTATCTATATAGCATCCCTTTCAGCTTAGCTAGTATTAGATCTCATTCAGGTCCTGTTTTTAGAGATGGGAAGGACACCATAAGGTGTTGAATACTTTTTCCTTTCATAGGAAGTTTGCAAAAGAAAGGCCCTTATGTGGACCTGTACTTTATACTTATATCTTAGAGGAGTAATTCCAATCAGAACACACAGTGATTACGGTGTGACATGGTGAAGGGATGATACTGTCAAAATTGAAGATTTTGACATTTTGTTTTATCCACAAATGTTATCATCTGGTGGTAAACTCAGTGGTTGGGTTGTGTTCTTGGATAAGATGGTTTACTCTTGCAGTACCTCTTCCCATCCCAGAGTGATAATGGGTATCTGAAAAATACTAACTTAAAGGAAACTAGGGAAATATCTGGTTCAGGAGGAAAGGGAAATCCACTGAAAAGAAGTGACAATATTCTTAATCTTGTTAAGTTTAAGGAATCAGGATTGGCGGTGTCAGTCACTGGGCTCTTAGCCTTACTGTTTTTTTTTGCATTAAATAATTGTCGCATTGAAAACGTCCTTTCTCTAGTGTCCATTGATTTCATTTTTTTTATTATAAGTAATAAAATTATCCTCTGGTCAGAGACAGTTACCCAAGATAACTCATATTTATTTATTGCTTATTAGCAATAAGAACATACTCTAGCACTATTTAATAATTTTGGTATTCTTTGTTTAAAGATGATCAACCATCTATGATAGTTGTAAGTGAATATCCCAATGAAAATGTTTTGGGTAATTGTGAAGAAGAGCTCCCCGAAAAACCTGTTGGCCGACAGTTGGTTGTCTGTCGGCCAACAGTTGGCCGACAGGTTTTGCCCGAAATATAGGCTACCTGTCGGCCGACAGTCGGCCGACTGTTGGTAATGTGTCGGTAACCTGTCGGTAGCTTGTCGGTAAAACGTTAACACAAACCTTAATGTTTTCTCTCGGTTTTCACTTGATACAACATCCAACATATGTAATACATTGACAAGAATAGCCTTTCATAGATTTGGTGGCTCCTAAAGGAGCCGTTTTGTGAGTGGTGAAATATACAAGATACTTCACTTGTAGAATCATGCCTCGAACTTCATTGGCAACAGCTGCCCCTCTCTCCTCATGTTGCTCATGACCGGGATGTAGCGCCGAAGTCTTTTGTGACAGACAACCTCCAGATCTTGCACCGATTTAACTTCTTGGTCGCGGAGGACGAGGTCCAGTTCTCTCGAGTCGACCTTTTTCAGTTCTGCTATCGCCACGAAGTCTCTTAGTGTGCTCCGAGGACAGCCTGCAAGACGGAAGGCACAGGCTGCTGCTGGTTCTGGAAGGCCTGACCCACTGAGCCAAGCTATTTTAACGTTCCTTGTGAATCATGGCTTGCTGGCTGCTAGGCGTATTTGTTCTTGTGGAAACCAAATGGTTTTACGAGATGATTAATCTGATGACGGTTATCACTGGGAATGTCCAGTTAACCAGTGCAGAAAACGAAGATCAGCTGTAGAAGTTTAACTCATGTAAACACAAATACAAAGAAATCATGCTGAAGACAAGTACAAAGCAAGGCTTTATTTTGTAATTACAGCAGTAACTTTGCCAGCTTTAAGCTTTTCAAACTAATCTTACTTTTTTCATTAGTATAAGCAAGAAAGGAGTGAAATATTAAAAATTAATTACATGAAAAAAAGATGTGATTCTGAATAACCTTATATAGTTGCAAGTTACAAAACAATTCATGGAACAAATTGCACCCCTGAATTGCAAACTGAAAATTAATATTGATAATCTAATATCATTTCAGGAACATTACCGGAACATTATGACCTACATGTAGCCCACTTTTGAAATGGAAACCAACTACTATGCAAACAGTCACAAGTTTGTGGTCTAGCAGGACTCAGCTGTCACAGGCAACTAACTATTGTCTTAAAGCAACATGTATAACTTTTCTTTTATGGAGATGAGCTAAACAACCCAGGTTTCTACAACAAGAACCTGCAGAAACCACGTAACGCTTCTAAGGGTGCAGCTTTGAGCTACCAATTGAGAATGCAAAAACTATTTACACAAAAGCAAGGGCAGAGATTGTCATTTGGCTTGGCCTATTTACAACGCATGAGAGGTAAAAAGTAAAGAAGATAAGTTAGAATTAATTCCTATGAGGATCTGAGTTTGCTGAGTGCATTCCTTTGCAATTCAGCCATTCAAGATTGTGCTAATGATCCCAAGTAGCTGTTATCAAATAAAATCCCCTTTTTATAAAACTCAATACATCTTTTCTTTTTTTGTCCCTCTCATCTCCTTACAAGAATGACATTATTTTGGAGAGGCCTATTGAACTCAGTTACCTTGACAAAAATCAAGCTACCTTGGATTACCAGTAACTACAAAACTATGCAAAGACTCAAAGCTAAAAAAAGGTCTCAGTCCCCCCCCCCCCTCATACCCCATTTTAATTTTGGATATCTCTTCATTACAAACATGTCTCAAAAAATTGTTTGTTATTACAAAAGGAGGGTGTGGAATACAGTAGAATCCACAGATATCAAAATTTTCCACCCTTGTGATCAAAGATGTTGCTCATAATTATTATCTCCAAGGTTAGCATTATTATTGATACAAAGGAAATTGAAGAACTTTGATAACAGTTTCACAGAACATCTTTCCAAAATGTCCTATTTCACGAACCAAATAACATTACAACTTGAAGCAACTCACAAAAACTTAAACAATATTCTTAGTAGCAGGAAGTTTGGCAGGCAGTTACATTTGTATTCTTGAATTTCATCCTCTCCTTTTGAAATTTCTCTTTGATGTCTCTGAGGATGCTAAAATACAAGTAAATGTGGCTAAGGACATGTAGAGCTGTGAAGGATGCTTCTTATTGCTTCCATCCTCACAACTGAATCATCCACAAAGGTTTGTGTGACTTCTAAGTCCACCTTTCTTTATATGAAAATCACATAAATAGAAAACTGTTTGAAAATCTTAACTCCCTTATAATCAGACTATCCCAGATGTTAAACCATTGGTTTTTAAGTGAAAATTAAAGGACACAAATTGTTTGGCATAATTTTAGAAATTAAAACAATACCATTATTGTTAAGAAATAACATCATTTTCTTTGAGAGGCCAAGAAAACAGCCATGGTTCCTAACAAAAGCACAATACCAACTGTGTACCAGCTAGGTTCTGACAGGTGAAAATCCATCACAGCTCTCTGAAAAAAGGAAAATCCAAGATTACACAAAGTTCATTCTGACCTAAAACAAACATTTTCTCTGTACAATCAATAACAAAATCTGCTGTAATTTATATATGGTTGCTGTTAAAGGAAAATGTTATTCCCATGTCATGACCATAGGATAATTGAATTCCAGGAGAATCCAATCCTGAGACCTTCATAATTAGAAACCTGGTAATGGCCTCACTGACTTTAACCCAGTGAGCTCCACACCTTAGAGCTCAGACCACCCCCTGAAATTCCAGAGAAAATGGCTGCCACAGTGAACACACAGACCACTGCCAAAATAATTTAAGATTTTAATGTATTCATTTCACTCTACTGAAGGGAAACTGCACAAAGTTGCATATTAAATAATATACTTTCCCCCTGTCAAATTTTATTTTCAACTCGAGCATCAGGCTCTCTCAAAAAAAATTCTAAAGCTAGAGAACGGATTCAACTTCATGATGTACAGCGAGTCATTGGCAAGGTTGCTTTGAAAGTATTTATCAGTATGATGACTCTCTTTTGCACTCTTATTTCATCAGAATCATGTAAAAAGCTTTCCCTCAAATACAACACCAAAAGACAGATCGCAAATTTCTCCTCAACAAAAGGAATCCCAAACTTTCTAACGCGGGTCAATTTTGAATTTTCCCGCCATAGCAACATCGCGACACGTCACAAGGCACAGCTATAAAATTACTTTTTGTGAGTCATGAGCAAGAATAAACCAATTTTTACGCCTAAATGAAAAGTTTCACTTTGAACAATGCATATATGTTCTTCGCTTAGGCAAACTTTTGCTCCAAGCGAGTTACAAGGGGGCAAACTTTGCAGAGGAGATCGTTTTGGTCTTCTGCGGTCGGGTCAGCAAGATGTAAATATTTCCCCAGAGTCATGAAGCGGTGCTCTGGAATCGTTTTTTTTAAGCAATCAACTCCAACAAACTCGTCAGAATCCCAGTACATTGCCAGCTGAGGAAGTTCATGGATTCCAATGAGAATGTTTAGCCCGAGATACGCTGAAATTTCCGCTTGGGTAGATGTGAACGATCGATCCCCTTTCGAACGAGCGTACGCAACGGTGTATCGGACGATTTCGTCAATGTAAGCATCGTCGATAAATACATTGAAGAAATCTTTGGCAGTTGCATTTTCTCCGAGATCTCTGGTCGGGCCACGATGAATGGAGAATTCCTCAACATTAATTTGTCGCAATTAGCTAGACCATTGAAGAGCATTTGGTCGGCTTTCTTCTGCGGCAGATTCTTCATCACTACTTTCGTCGCTTTCTTCTTCCTCCTCACTAGCGTATAGCTCAACATCGGAATCGCTTCCCCTTTCTTGCGACCATAGGTCGAAAAAGTCTTCCATCTCGTCATCCACATCCGTCGCTTTTTTCAATTTCTTCGATGATAAAACCAGCGAAGACTTCTTGCTCTTCATCGGATGAAAATTAACTTTCATCAATTCTTCCAGAAGCCATGTCTAAGACCACGACATATTTTTGAAAAATTTGTCAAAAATCGCACGGTAAACGTGGAATAGTGAGTTTGGTCTCAAACGAAAGCTTATTTTTTGCATGTCACGTTTCACTGCTTTTCAATACCCAGGGGAGTTTTGTTTCTAAGCTACAAACCAATCAAAACAAACCATTTCTGACAGGGGTTTTATTTCTGGGCGCATGAGGGCGCATCGGATGTCAATGGGTTAAAGTCTCCACAGCTCAGTAATAGAGCATTGGTGCAAATAATCCAAAGATCTGAGGTTCAATTTCCTCATGGAGAATTTTTTTTTGTCAACACTCATGACAAGACAAAACATCTCTCTCTACTGAGACCTTCTTATTTCCCAGTCTGATGCTCTTTTGCTGTACTACAGAAAACTTGTTTATAAGCAAACACTTTTTATAGTAGGTGACAAGGGCACACTTCTACAGGACTCAGATTTTTTTGTCTCCCTTCTCTAGCAAGCAATGAACACCTTCCTCAAAAAATTTTCACTTTTGGCTTATTTCCCTAGTTATTATTTCCTAGTCGTTCCATTGATGCAACACATATTGCTGATGCAACACGAAAGTTTTTCTACAGACATGAAAACATGATATTTCAATAGAAACATCATTTTCAAGAAGCTTTCATTTAGACCCCTTTCCATCTAAACTCACACTACACAAACATTAGCAACTTTCTTTTAACCTGATACCTGATATAATTTCCTTGAAATGAATGTACTAAGTTTCAAATTGGCGCATTAATAAGCACTTTCAGAGCTGTCAAAATTTCGCTTAGAGTCACTGCCGGTCATTAAAAGACACATCGAAAAAAAAAAATCAAAAAATCTGATTCATCTGAACACACAATAACTCAAGTGGAAACATTTCCGGACAGCCCCATACTTAATTATGCATGCATGTCTTATTGGTGATACATTGAACAATAAAGCCCCATACTTAATTATGCATGCATGTCTTATTGGTGACACACTGAACAATAAAGCCCCATACTAAATTATGCATGTACATCTTATTGGTGATACACTGAACAATAAAGCCCTGTATTTGGATGCATGATGAAGTATGGGGCTGTGCTGAAATTTTGCCATCAATCTTACCCATCCTCCATTCTCAGCAATCCAGCAAGCAATCCGCTCTCTGAAGATAAAATCCACCACAAATCGTATGATTCTACGAAGAAAACCACCACCAAAATGTCCCTCTATGACAGTCATGGCAATTTCGTGGCCAAAGCAAAGAAGGGCAACCACTTTTCCCCAGTTTATACCTGTACGAAACAACCCCCGAGCGACTGCAGCAAATGACTCGTAGGCCGTTCCTGGCGTTAGGCTTAATGCGTCTGTCATATCCCTGATGTTCTTTCTGTATTTAGTATTTAATTCATCGGCCATTTTTGTGAGGTAATCAACGACATATTGTTCATCCTGTGAAATTGGAGCGATGTCATTACCAGCACGCAATTCTTCCAGTGCGTCTGAACATGCACTAGCCGAAGGACTCTCCATTTCACCATGTTCTTCCGCTCTTTGTGTCTCACCCTGATGGTGTTGGACCATAAAATGCGTGACAATTGTTTCAGTGTCTTGGTATACAGTTCTTTCGTCCTCATTAGGCGGAATATCCTGATTATTTTCACTAGACTCTCCTCCAGCGGAAGCCATTTCTCCCTCACTACCAAATCTTGACGCTTCTGAACGAGTGATGCTATTTCGAACGCGTTAGTCGAGGGTTGAACACACAAGTTTATAGCACAGCGGTTAAATTTAAAATACATCATGTAAGCTTAAGCACTTGTTCCCCACAAAAAATTCAAAAAAGAATTACTTTTGTTCAAGATTGTTCTGAACAAAGGGGCTTTGAGGTCCTGGGGCAGTTTCTTGATTTTGTTTGAGTATTTTGTGGCTGTCATAAAATAACCACTGAGATATATTTCTTTTGAACAATTTTCATGGGATTTTTATCTGTAAGCTAAATGCGAATACAATTTTTTTTATGAAGGGCACATAAAATAGCATTACATCATGACTATTTTCTTCCAGTATCAATCATTAGGAGAAGAAGAAATATTACTAGTTTATAGCGATTCCCAAAATCCTAGATACATGAAAACAAGCCATCAAATTATACTTCTCTGTTTTTGTTTACTCACACGTGGCTCACAGATGAAGATATACAAAAACTAATGAAAATGTTTTCAGTATGTTTGAGCTATTTACTAAGTATCAATGCGCTAATAAGCTTAACTGTAACGTTTGAATTTTAAACGATAATGTCGTCTCTTAAAAAGTAAATAATGAGAGAGATTCTCCTCGCAGCGTTGAGTCCATTGAGAGAAGTTCAATGTTTTTTACTTGCGTAATACGAAAAACTTGTCAACGCTGAAACTTCAGATAATTCGTGAAATAACGAACGGGAATTTCAGGAATATGTACACACCCTACGTTTATGGGGAATTCTAAAGCAAATGGATGTAAATGGCCTTCCCGATTTTGTTTCCTCAGTATGCGAAAAGCTCGATGGATTCCTCCACTAAAATACCTAGAAAAATTAAAACAGTTTCGCGGGCTATGCAAAAATCGAATACTACTGGTACGTTTCATTATATTTCAAACTCTGTTTTCAAAATGAATTCTCACCTTTGTTGGTCCGTGGAAGCAATGCCGAGTTTCATTGCTTGCGATGTAAAACGGCTTGCCGAAAATTGGATCGGTACATTACCACCATTGTGTTCAAAGACGGGAGACGCTGCAAATGCATAATTTGAAAAAGTATTTACGTATAATAGATTACGCACTTAGAGTGTTTTCCAAGGGCTTTCCTATATATGAAATACTATTAAATATTTGAACACTTTTACGCCCGGTGCATTGCGTAAGTTTTTACAAAATTGCGGCAAAAGATCAGGTCTCTACAAGGCCCACACCGAATTGATAAAGGCAAACAAATCAGCTAAAAATAAAAGAAACTAACTACCATTTTTTGAAAACCTCTTGTGATTAACCCCTTTGAGTGCAAGGCCCTCTTTACAAAGCACGTGGAACTAATAAGAAGAAACCTCTCAAGCATATCCTCGAACTCGTCTCTTTTCCAGTCGAAATAACCCACGAAGTACTGGTTTTCAAAAGAATAATTTTCAAGGTTTTCCTCAAGGAATTCAATCTCCGATCATTACCGCCATCATTACGCATTCTAGTGTCCTAATCAAAAATTGTCTTCAGTTTTTAGTCATCCTTTCGGGTGAAGCTATAGCGAAGGCCAGGAGTTGTACGCACTCCGATTGCATTGCATTATGGTAGCCTTATTTTCAATATGGTGGCGAAAGCGACATTAATTGGCAGTTTTTGACTGAAGATTACTTAAAAGACAGATGTTATCATCTGGTGGTAAAGTCAATGGTTAGGCTGCGTTCTTGGATAAGATGCTTTACTGTTGCAGTACCTCGCCCCATCCCAGAGTGATAATGGGTATCTGAAAAATACTAACTTAAGGAAACTAGGCAAAACATCTGGTTTAGGAGGAAGGGAAATCCACTGAAAAGAAGTGATAATATTCTCAATTGTGTTAAGTCTAAGGAACCAGGATTGGGCGTGGCAGTCACTGGGCTCTTAACCTTACCGGTTTTTTACATTAAATAATCATCACATTGAAAACATTCTTTCTCTAGTGTCTATTGATTTAATTTTTTCTTATAATTTATAAGTAATGAAATTATCCTCTGGTTAGAGACAGTTACCCAAGATAACTCATATTTATTTATTGCATATCAGCAACAAGTACAGTAACTCTAGCACTATTTAATATTTTGTGGTATTCTTAGTTTAAAGATGATCAACCATCTATGATTGTTGTAAGTGAATATCCCAATGAAAACATTTTGAATAATTCAGTTGGTGTGAGATCGAACATTTTAAGGAAAGTTTTAAATTTACAGTAATGTTAAGGAATTGACAATAGACTAAATTTTAAATAATCCAAAGGTTCTTGTAACTCATTGAGGTAAAAGATTGAAAATAATTTAAATGGAGTGTTTTAAAGGTCTTTTATCTCCCAAGAAAGTCCCTTCTGATGCAGACAACAATGTTTTCATTACATGCTGCATAAGTAATTGAAAACCAAACAATTGAAATGGAGCTTCACACTTTTAATTCGATTCATCGTCAATTAGCTCTTAAACTCCCAGAAGTGTTTAACATGTCACTTCTCCCAATAATATCCATCCCAGATGTGCATGAGCTGTGAATATTAACACCTGACTTAATACAGCTGTAGAAGTTAACACACAAATACAAAGAAATCATACTGAAGACAAGTACAAAGCAAGGCTTTATTTAGTAATTACAGCAATAACTTTTCCAGCTTTGAGCTCCTCAAACTAATCTTACTTTTTTTTTTATTAGTATAAGCAAGAAAGGAGTGAAAAAATAAAAATAAATTGCATGAAAAAAAGACATGATTCTGAACCTTACATAGTTGCAAGTTACAAAACAATTCATAGAAAAAATTGTACCCCTGAATTGCACACTGAAAATTAAAATTGATAATCTAAAACTTCAATTTGTTTTGGGTTGAAAATCATAATTTAAGAATAATAAGCTTTACAACTGATGCTGATTTTGCTTTCGATTTTTGCTTTGTTTTCAATGGAAGTCTCCACACCAGATAACCACAAAATCTGCTCAATTTGTGAGTTCAGAAATTTCAGAAAAGTGCAAAACAGATATGAATGAGGCCCTAAATTTAAATTTCTTTTCAACTGATACTCACACTAGTGTGCAAATATAATTAACTCAAGACAGTAACATTTACATTTTGATCAAGAGTTTCAATAAATAATTCATATTTCATTCAATCATGTGATCATGCAAAAGCACCAAGATTGTCAACAGTCTGTTCTTTCAACAAAAGCCCTGGCAGGGATTTTAGAAATCATCAACATCTTTGATATCATTTGAATTTAGCACTGTCCGGCAGGTTTCTTTCAAGAAATGGTGAAGAGTAAAAACTCAGGGAAAATACTGAAAGCCTGAACAGGACTAGGTCACTTACACAATTTTGGGTAGTTTCAGCCCAAAAAACTGGGCCAGAAACAATTTCTTATGTTATTAAGCTTTTTGTTCTTTATTTTGGAATGATGTTGTTGTTACCAAAATAAGAAATTTTTTCCTTGCTCTCTATTGTACTAAAATTTGGTGAAAATTCTGTTAAGTGAGCACATGGTTAAGATTGTTTTGGACATTCAATCAGAAATCAGACAATAAACACTTATTTTCAGTTCAGCCTTAAGTGATCAAAGAAACACTTTGATTATTTCAACTGTTAGTTTGAACTTTCAAGATCATTTTGGGAACATTACCAAGAACATTATAGCCTACATGTAGCCCACTCTTGAAATGGAAACCAACTAAGATTAATTTACTGCTCTCAATTATCGATGCAAACAGTCACAAGTTTGTGGTCTAGCAGGACTCAGCTGTCAATGGCAACTATTGTCTTAAAGCAACATGTATAACTTTTCTTTTATGGAAATGAGCTAAGCAACCCAGGTTTCTACAACAAGAGCCTGTAGAAACCAAGTGACGCTTCTAAGGGTTCAGCTTTGAGCTACTAATTGAGAATACAAATACTATTTACACAAAAGCAAGAGCAGAGATTGTCATTTGGCTTAGCCTATTTACAATGCATGGGAGGTAAAAAGCAAAGGAGAAGGTAAGTTAGAATTAATTCCTATAAGGATCTGAGTTTTCTGAGTGTATTCCTTTGCAATTCAGCCATTCAAGATTGTGCTGATGATCCCAAGAAGCTGTTATCAAATAAAATCCTGTTTTTATAGAACTCAATACATCATTTCTTTTTTTGTTCCTCTTGCTTCCTTACAACAATGTCATTATTGTGGAGAGGCCTATTAAACTCAATTACCTTGACAAAAATCAAGCTACCTTGGATTACCAGTAATTACCAAACTATGCATCGAATCAAAGCTAAAAGAAAGGTCTCAGCCCCCTCCCACACCCCCTTTTAATTTTGGATATCACTTCAATATAAACATGTCTCAAAAAATTGTTTGTTATTACGCGAGGAGGGTGTGGGATACAATAGAATCCACAAATATCAAAATTTTCTATCCCTGTGATCAAAGTTTTTTCTCAAAATTATTATCTCCACAGTTAGTATTATTATCGATACAAAGGACATTGAAGAACATTGATAACAGTTTCACAGAACATCTTTCCAAAAAGTCGTATTTCATGAACCAACTTACAAAAACTTCAGTCAAAGATTTCTCATCATCCCACATCTTATGAGCTAACGGATGACATTTCAACAGTCTATTAAGCCCCCAAAACCAATCACCACCCATGTCATCAGTATCGATCTCCAGGTTCTGGAGCAAGTAAAGCAATGAGTAAAAAGGAACTAAAACACATGTCTCAGCTACAATGACAAGATTGGATTGCTTTGTCACTGCTCTGTTGACAACTTTCTGAGATTTCAGACTGACTGAAAAAAAGTCATTCAATAAAGAAACAATATTCTTAGTAGCAGGAAGTTTAGCAGGCAATTACATTTTCATCCTCTCCTTTTGAAATTGCACTTTGATGTCCCTAAGGATGCTAAAATACAAGTAAATGTGGCTAAGGACTACAGCTGTGAAGGATGCTTCTTATTGCTTCCATCTTCACAGCTGAATCATCCACAAAGGTTTGTGAAACTTCTAAGTCCACCTTTCTTTATATGAAAATCACATAAATAGAAAACTGTTGGAAAATCTTGACTCCCTTATAAACAGACTATTCCAGATGTTAAACCATTGTTTAAAGTGAAAATTAAGAGACACAAATTATTTGGCATAATTTTAGAAATAAAAATAATATCATTATTATTTAGAAATTACATCATGTTTTCCGAGTGGCCAAGAAAACAGCCATGGTTCCTAACAAAAGCACAATACCAACTGTGTACCAGCTGGGTTCTGACAGGCGAAAATCCATCACAGCTCTCTGCAAAAAGGAAAATGCAAGATTACACAAAGTTCATTCTGACCTAAAACAAACACTTTCTCTGTACAATCAATAACAAAATCTGGTGCAATTTACATATGGTTGCTGTTATAGGAAAATGTTATTCCCATGTCATGACCATAGGACCATGAACAATTTGAATTCCAGGAGGATCCAATCCTGAAACCTTCATAATTAGAAACCATGGTAATGGCCTTGCTGACCTTAATGTATCCACAGCTCAGTAATAGAGCACTGGTGTAAAGAATCCAAAGATTTGAGGTTCAATTTCCTCATGGAGAATTTTTTTCTTTGTCAACACTCACAACAAGACAAAACATCTCTCTCTACTGAGACCTTCTTATTTCCCAGTCTGATGCTCTGTTGCTGCATGACAGAAAACTTGTTTGTAAGCAAACATTATTTATAGTAGGTGACTTCTACAGGACTCAGATTTTTTTGTCTCCCACTTCTAGTAAGCAATTAACACCTTCCTCAAAAACTTTTCGCATTTTTCCCTAGTTATTATTTCCAAGTCATTCCATTGATGCAACACATATTGCTGATGCAATATTTCTATAGAAACAATATTTTCAAGAAGCTTTCATTTTAACCCCTTTCCATCAAAAGTCACCCTACACAAACATTAGTAACTTTCTTTTAACCTGATACCTGATATAATTTCCTTGAAATGGATGTACTAAGTTTCAAATCGGCGCATTAATGAGCACTTTCTGAGCTGTCAAAATTTCGCTTAAAGTCAATGCCGGTCACTAAAAGACGCATCAAAAAGAAAATCGAAAAAAATAATCGAAAAATCTGATGCATCTGCACACACAATGAAACAAGTTTACACACTGATCAATGAAGTACACAACAAATTATTATCAAACGACTACACGCATGTTAGCGTGCATTTACACCCTAACAATCGATCGACAAGAGTCTTATTTAAACAAGCAGATTAAGAAATAACAAGGAATTACGGATATTTCTAAACGAACTCAATCCATTGAGAAATAAACAATGAAGGGGATATCGAGCAGAGAGAAGGGTGAGATTATTCTAGACTTTTTACCAAAAGTCATTAGTTAGCTCCATACATCCCTCAATATCGAGTAACCGACATTTTACAGTGAATCTAACAATCAATCTTACCCATCCTCCATGCTGAGCAATCCAGCGAGCGATCCGCTCTTTGAAGATAAAATCCACCACAAATCGTATGATTCTACGTAGAAAACTACCACTAAAACCTCTGCGTATGACAGTCACGGCAATTTCGTAGCCAAAGCAAAGAAGAGCAACCACTCTTCCCCAGTTTATACCTGTACGAAACAACCTCCGAGCGACTGCGGCAAATGTCTCGTAGGCCGTTGCTGGCGTTAGGCTTAATGAGTCTATCATATCCTTGAATTGATCTTTGTATTTAGCATCTATTTCATCGCCTATCTCTCCGAGGCGTCTACCGATAACTGGTACATGCTGTGAAAATGGATGGATGTCATTGCAAGAACGCAATTCTTCCAGCGCGTCTGGACGTGCGCTGGCCGAAGGACTGTCCATTTCACCATGTTCTTCTCCTCTTTGTGTCTCATCCTGATAGCGTTGGAACATAAAATGTCTGAAAATCCCTTCAGTATCTTGGAATACAGTTCTTTCGTCCTCGTTAGGCGGAATATCCTGATTATTTTCACCAGAGTCTCCTCCACCTGAAGCCATTTTTCCCACACTACCAAATCTCGACGCTTTTGAACTGACTGTACAGTACGCCAGCGGAAACTGCCAAACGTCCCGTTGACGATCCCGCTGTCCGGGACGAGCAAACAAGAGAGATTGGCGCGGTTTCGGCCACCCATGTAATGAAAATAGACATAAGTGACCTTCGCGTGAAATTCGCGTGCAATTCGCATTTTCATTATTCAATCTAAACTTATATAGGTAGTTGACGCAAGAGTGTAGCCGTGACGCTCTCTTCTATAAAAAAATCTAAGTAACGCAAAACAAGAACAAAGACAAAAAAGGACGAAAACAAACAAACAAACAAACAAACAAATAAACAAACACGTGAAAAATGTAACTTTCCGCTTCATTGTTCTTTAAAACCAAAATGAAGGCAATTACAGTTCTTGAACCTTTTTTTATCCTTTATCAGCGACATTCTTGCTGGAAAAATTGACCATCAATCTACGAGATACATACCCTAATGCGGCGATCTGATCGGTGCGAGCAACATAACACTCTACACACTAACATAGTTATTTTTTTACATAAAAAAATAATAATAAATATTAAAAAAGGAGAGGCGGCCTCTGTTTTTCCCTAAACTTCGGAAAAAACTGCCTTCCCATTCGTCAGTTATTGTACCAAAAATTTTTCCCTGAGGGCTAAATCTAGTTCACTAATAAGAATGCCTCTCTCCCTTGAGCGTTACAGCGTAACTTTGGGAAAAACTTGGTCTCTCGTTTTCCGTAAACTGAGAGTAGAGTATGCCAATAAGCCTCTCGTGTTCCCTAAACTCGGAGAAATCTCCCCCCCCCCCCTTACCGTTCCTTTTTGGCAGCATCAAAAACGTCATCACTTCCCGTGAAGGGTAGTAAGTCCTATAACATCTGTTTGGAACTAAGTCCTACTCCTCCTCTCCCCCCACGCTTAGGTTAGCTTGTTGTTTCAATTTTGTTTAAAAAAAAAAAAACCTCGCTAAGCGCTGAGAAGCACGGAATATCATGAGAAGTTGGTCAAAAATTTTGTATACGTGACTATGCATAGCTTTGCTCTTAGTCATAGCTTGTGTGACAATTGTTTCTTTGTTAGAATTTGGTTGAAAGATGCGATTAGATAACTATAAAAATATTTCTCTCTTCTCTAGGAACGAGGGAACTGTGCTTCGTTTCCTATCTCGCATTTCACTCAACCTTTGAGGATGTGTATTTAACCTTTAATGTAGGGAAGTGCGACTGTTTATTTTAAATTGTGACGTTTTGGAACTGACACAATTTATTTTATAATACAGTTGTTAATTTTCGCCACCTGCTCGTCAAACATGACACAATGGTCAAAACCGTTAGCAAATGTTTGCTATTAACTCGTTAAATACTGTGATGTCATTGGTTTAATATCATTCAAGGCTGGGAGCGACAACCGAGGAAGTCCTTTGTTTTTTTATTTTCGTTTTGAAAAGACTGCATTGAAACTTGAAGAAGTCTTGGGTGTTTTTCTTTTCTCGATTTAATGAAAGGCGTTATAATGCCGGAGACAGTCATTAAGTACTCGTGGGTTTTTGGTTCGAAACAAAGAGCTGAAAATTGCCTGCGGTGCGTTTTCGGTTCTGTTATTCTAGGGCTTTGATAGTTATCATAAATTTATGAGCTTCAAGTTTTCACCATGGCTACGACTGGTTTATCACAAGAAGTTACTCTCGGACATCGTTCACTTTTGCGGTGTAAAGATACAGTGCGGAAACGTGTCGATGCGACTGTTTACCACTGAGCCGTTAAAGCAGGAATGTCAGCGTCAAAAAAACAAGTTCGCTTTACTGAAGCAGCAGAGGGAAGGTTTTCTTCATTAGACGAAACTTTACATACACAAAAGTTGGAAACACCAAATGGTAACAAGAAAAAGAAGAAAAAGAAAAAGACTAAGCTGCAAGGGCTAAAAGCTGAGAAGAAAAAGCTCCAAAGAGACCTGAAGGAAACAAGGCACGGAATATTGAAAGACAACGAACGAAAAGCAAGCCCGGATTATACTCCGTATGAGAATCGCCAAAGACTAGCACGTACAACGAGCGACACTCTTTCCAAGCTGAAAAAATTGGAGGGACAAATAACAACAAAAGAAAAGGAGAAGAAAGCGAAAATCCAGGGAAGATTGCAAACTAAGCTAAAGAAAAGATCCATTAGAGCGGATAAACAACACAGTCGACTGATTAAAATGACTACACGACTGGAAAGAATGAAACTAGGCGAAGATGAACTCCGCGCTGAAATAGCACGAGAAGCTGTGGAGCAAGATGAAGAAAATTTGCGTCCCGCATCAGAGCCAAGAATTCGACTACCCCATATATCTGCCACTTCAGACGATTGGATGAGGCAAACAGAGGGGAAAAGTGAGGCATCATTGTCTGACTTTGGAACAGAAGGAGAGAGAGATTATTCCCGTCCCACCTCTGTTTTAAGCGAATCTGCACTTCAACTAAGCTCCAGGGAGAAGGAAATCGTAGCGAATAAGCTCGCTCATAAGTATGACATGACTCGTGAACTGAGAAATACGATTCACGAACACATGATATCACGCTCGTACAGTTTCTCGTACTTCAATATAATACCTCCTTACAAGCGGAGAAAACCCAAGCCACAGAAAACTAAACAAGTTTTCAATCGCCTGGTTTACGAGGATAAAATTGGAGTTATGGATTTCAGCAAGTCATACCCAAAAAAAGTTGTCTTAAGTGCGTGAAATTTTGGTTAAATGTTGTAACTTCAACTCAGCACATCTTCGCTTACTTCATGCACGCACGCTTTTGTTTCTTAAAATGATTCATTTCAATTACTGACAGGTGTTAAATGTAATATTATCGGAAATTTGAAACTTTAAACTGAATTTTTTTTATGTGACAAATTTATATCTAATGTGGCAATTCGTCGCAATAAAGATCTTTGGAATCTATTCTTCAGAGAAAAGTGACTTTTACAATAAGAGTTTAAATTATCCGTAAGAATGGGGAAACGAAGTTAAGTCAATACAATCCATTGTAACTAGGCAACTTTATGGTCTTGAAAATTACTGATCCCTTTGGTTCATTAGCAAGTGTTTGAGAATTAGAATACTCAATTTTAATGCTGTTTCAACTGAAAAAAAAACCAGACTATGATATCACCAGGCATGCAAATAAAATTTAGACGTATATGAGCTATGAGTCTTAGGGTTAAGTTACTTTGGTACTTTTTTGCTTTCTTTTTTTCTTAACCTTTCATATCACATAACGAAAAAGGAGAAATGCAAACATGATGCTATCTTTTTATAACTTAAAGCCCAAACGCTTTGGTCACGTATACAGCTGGTAATTAAGCTGTCAAAGGTGTTAGTTCAGAGGGTGTTTAAAATTGCGGCAAACATTAAAAAGACGGCGAATCGTGGACATACGTTTAACTGCATCCCAATTAATGCAAGAATAGGCAAGACTTTGACGAGAATTAACATATATATTAAATGGCCACGGGGCGATATGAGACGAATAAATAGCCCTCAGTCTAAATTCTCAAAATCGAACAAGATATCTCGATTCTAGACCTCGATTACTATAGTCTTGAGCAAGTCAAGAAAAATAAGAGCGGAGAGGAGCTCGAGAGGAGGGGAAATTATATTGACTGATTTAGCTGTGAGAAGGACTTCGTATTTTTTTCTCGTTCTTATGCGGCGAGTGAGGGAGGGGGGAGGGGGAAGGAAGGGAGGGTGAGGGCGGGCGGCTCAGAAATCATTCGGTTTTCCAGCGAGAGGAGGGAGGGATTAGTTGTCGCTAACATAGTATAAAAAGAGAAAAAGAGGACCATTGAGTATTTACGGCCAGTTTACTTCCGGTAAAGGGGAGATCATGAAAATACTACAGAGCCTTATATGAGTAACAGGAAAACGTTTTTGTGCCACAGCCAAAACCTCCCGACTCCCCCCTCCCCTCTTTCCCCCTGGCGATAGATAATGGCTAGTTCATGTCACTCTATTAGTTGCATTACGCAGCTTTGGCTACTGCGAAAGTAACAAATCAAAAGGAGATTTGATCTTCCATTCCTTTGCTATCATGGCTCTAAAACCTAATATTATTAGCGGACGAAACCCTTTGGGAACGGACTGGCCAAAAATGTGCTTGAGCTGAAAGTATGAAGAAGTAAAAAACGTTTAAGGGAAACTGAAGCCAAAAATTTACTTCTGCTTAACTTCAGATACATAAAATAGTTTTGCAGTTATTTCCATTCACTTCTTGTTGTTCAACCTTGGGCTCAAAATGATCAGTAGCAGTAGAATGTGACGTCCGTGGTGGAGAAATGACATACTTCTCACTTGAAAAGGCCGCATATCAACGCTTATTAAGTGCAAACCTCACATTTATTGGTCTTCATTTTGCAAGTATTAATGGCATGCAGCCCTTTCAGTTTGAGCCGACAAATTGTCCAGCTGCGGGTGAAGAACCAGTCGAACAGTACCGTAAAGACAGGGCCATCAATTATGGTACAATTGCTCCTTGTCGTTTACTAGTTGATTAGATGTACTTAGGCGTACAGCAAGTGCTGCTACTAAATTTCTTCTGAGTATTAACCATAAGTGAAAGGCTACGCTCCTGTGGGGAACTTGGGTACTAGCCTCACCCCCCAAAGAACACTGGGATACCCACATGTAGTGTCTGTCATCATATTTTTCTTCAGTTCCGTATTTTCTCTTGTATACTTTTGATTTCTTTATTTCTTCTACAACTACCGTTACCATGGACGTGACACAGATAGCCAACGGTGGAACAGTTCCTATGCGAGACGCAGATGCGATCAAACTGTTCATAGGGCAGGTCCCGAGAACGTGGGATGCTAAAGATCTCAGGCCCTATTTCGAAAGCTATGGACAAATACACGAGCTCACGGTGTTACGAGACCGAATAACTAAAAGTCATAAAGGTAATCTGGATTTTGTATATTCCTCTTGAAAATTTTTGAGCAATTTCTCATGTCTTTTGTGTTGTAGGTTGTGCATTTCTAACATTTTGCTCCCGCGAAGCTGCTTTGAGCGCTCAAAAGGACTTACACGAGAAGAAAACTTTACCCGGGGTAAGCTTCGTAAGTACAGAATATAGTTGTTGGTAAGGTTTTTGTCGGCAAATACCCTTGGGGCCTGCATTAGTATCTATAGCTATTCTTTATGAATATAACTTTTTGTAGCGATAAGCTGCAGATCTGTTGCTTGAAAAATAGACACTTGCCGACCTTCAATGCATCTGTTGCAACTTTATTTGATATTTAATAGTCTGTAACATTTCCGCCTTCTCTGTTTGCCGTTGGTGTACTGTAGAAACCACGTTTCTTCGGTAATTTTATGATTGAGTGTATTATTTGCATGCAGAAGTTAAATATGAGCTAAGTTATTAACGTGGTTCAATCTGCTTGTAACTGAAGGGCATTTTCAAATGGAAGAAATACTACAACTTGATGCACTTTCTTATCTTTAAGTAATATTAATCCATGGTACAAGGAGGTTAGACTGTTTGTTTTTGTAACCTGTGAAATCGTTGGCTTAATTCTTGGCGCTTTCTCAGGTGTTACGTTGATAAAAAAAAAGTGAATACCTGATTGAAAAGTTCTGAACGTGTGCAAGGGCACTTGACATGGTCTGATAAATTTTTGTTTCGGTTTGAGGCCTGCTACAAATTGGGGCTGAGCTCAATTAAATGTCATGAGTGCTGTAAACAACTTTTAACTGTTAGTAAACCTTACCTTAGAATTAAACATTCAATAGCTGCAGGTTTTCCTCTTTAAGAACGTTTTTGATGATTGTTTTATTGAAAGTGACAAATTCGGGTAGTACTTAATGTTGAACTTAAAAATTGTTGATATAAGTGGATAATTTACATAAAATTTTCAACAGCTTGTTAGAAGGAGTGATGTAGTGGTTTGTTCTCTCTGAAAAATCCAGTCTTAAGGTTTTTAAGTTTGTTGTTGGCAATCAGTGTTCTTTCTGGTTCTTTCTTAAGTTGTGTTTTTTACTCAGGAGGTTCCGTTTGTGCAACAGGAAGAAAAGATGTTTTGTCTATTCTTTTGATAAATTATGTTAATTTTTGTGAGGTGTCTGTACCAGTTAAGATTCTTGAATGATAGAAATGCATTTAAACTTAATATGTTTAAGGGGTTTGAGCAAAAAATTAATTTTGTAGTCTTTATGATGTTAACCACAGAGGAATCATGATTTGTCACAAAATCAAGTGAAAAGTCATTTAGCCTGTGTCCACTTGCTTCAGGGAAGTTTCCAGAACTTTTAACATCCAAACTGTTGTCCACTATGACAATGTGACAGAGATTGTTAAGAATTTTATTTTTCTAATCCTCTAACTCCTGTGAGTGACCAAAACAGAATTGTGATATCTATACAATATCAAGCAGACAAGTTATGAGAGTAAGGAAAAATATCAATTATTAGGGGACTAGAAGTTGAGATCGTGGGAGTTGAAGGGTTAAATTAAGTAAATGTTACTTGTATGGTGTTACCCTTGAAACCTTACTAAGTTAGGATTCTTAGAGAAAGCCTCAGAGTTCCTTATAATTATTATGTCTGTTCTTGCAAATAAACTTTTGGTGTAGATTGGATAATTTTGCCACATTAATACAAGAGGTTTCTTTTTCCAACAGATGCAAAATGCAATGCAAGTTAAACCAGCAGAAAGTGAATCTAGATCTGGTAAGTTGGGTAAAGTTGCTGTGAGAGATGAGCCAGGACTGGCTTCATCTTGTACAGAAAATACCTGAAAATATGTCTTTTCCTATCTAAACTTAATATACTGTACACATGTGAATTGCTTTTACTCATGAGCACTGAAGTGAAAGTTCTTAACCTTTTGACCCCTGACAGTGACTGGCATCAAATTTCTCCTTACAATTATTTTATCACCCCTGAATAAAATCCTTGTCAAGAAAATTAAGGAATCGATCACTAACTGAAGAACCTCTTGAGTTTTAAGAAAAATCTCAGTATCAGCACCTTAGGAAATGAATATAAAAAATATGAAGATTATGCACACAGATGTTAGGCGGCTTACTTCCTGATGCCTATTAACACCTCATCAGAAAAAAGGCAGCTAATTAGTGATTGTATAAAAGGACCTCTTGTTGCAGCATTTAGATCACCCCTGATGAAGGCACTCAGCAGGAGTGTCAAAATGTTGGGTCTATGAATTGTAACTTCTTCAGTTCCATTCATTAGATCTGTAAACCAGAGTAGCATCAAACCATGTCTGATTGTCCACCTGGTTGCCATGTGAACTTTAATATATTTTAGATGTTAGGCTGTAAAGAGTTAAGAATGATATATTGTGGAAACATTTTCCATTTCCGGGAGTGAATGTAATCTTCTAGTTTTAATAGATCTAAACCTGTGATCAGGTAGCTTAGAACATTAAAATGCATTTTGATTACATTATTTTGTAGAGTTATGCCATCATATATTGTTAATAATTTAAACATGACAAACAAAGTCATAGTTTCTATTAAAATTGAACCCTTGAACTCCCATGAGTGACAAAGACAGAATTTATCCTTACAATGTCAATACAATTCCAAGCAGGCAAGTAATGAGAATGAAGGAAAATATCTATTAGAGGATTATTAGTTGATCCAATACCAAATTCTCTAAACTAACATGATAAGAATTGTAAGGGGACAGTAAGGAGAAGAACTAATGAGACGTTGGAAGCTATAGGGTTAAGGCTCTTTGATATGTCCTTACTTCTTTTTAGTTATAGTACTATTTTTTTTCATATAATGTCACATTAGTTTCCAGACTTTTTTGGGAACTCTTTCACAGGGATTCTTTGATACCTAGTTTACTTTGATTAGTTTAAATCAATTGATGAACTACTCTGCAGAACATGTGTTGAAACTATTAATCCTTTGCTGCTAATAAGACTTTCTTACATTTCTCTTTTCTTGTAGAGGATCGTAAACTTTTTATTGGTATGATATCTAAAAAAGCCACAGAGGATGACCTTCGAATGATGTTTTCTCCTTTTGGTACAATAGAGGAACTGACAATTTTAAGAGATAGTGATGGAAAGAGTAAAGGTGTGCTATCTGTGTTCTATGCTTTTCTTAGGAGGAGTAGTTAAAAAAACCTTTTTCAGAATTTTTGATCTCTAAATTTAGTTATTTGCGAGCTGAAACTGGAATTATTTCTCTAGGTTGTGCTTTCTTAAAGTTTCCAACCAGAATGCAAGCTCAAAATGCTATTGCAGAGATGCACAACAGTACTACTATGGAGGTTTGTCATTTGTATCCTATAGCAGTACTGAGAATAAATCAATGTGTATTCAGTGTGAAAGATTTCTCTGTGCAGTCTCCATTGCACCAAACCACTCAACAGCATCATCTTAATCCTTTGACCCCTAACACTGACTAACCTATAAATTCTCCTAAGAGTACCACCCCCAGAATCACATATTGAAGTCATGAGAATAATGTAAATGATCACCAACTAAAGTAACCCTTTAATGTTTATTCAAATTCTCCTTGTCAGCATCTTAGGAAATATGTAGAAAACAGTGAGGAGAATATGCAAAGGGTGTTGAGTGCCATTTCTTCAGATGTCCTTATTTCAGACATTGATTGCCCTTAATTAATTAAAGTAGTTTTCTTTTGTTTTTAGGGTTGTCCATCACCAATAGTTGTTAAGTTTGCTGACACAGAAAAAGAAAAACTTCAGAAGAAAATGCAGCAGATGGTTGCACTTCATGGTATGGGCATGAACCTTGGGATGGGAATTGGAATGGGACTTCCTTATTTCCAGCATGCAAATTATAATGCAGCATGTCAGCAGGTGAGGAAGAACACCAATTGATATAGATAGAAGTCAACTGTATTAGCAGTTTTGATCAGCTGCGATACACATTGAGGCTTCTGTTTATATCTTCACATGTGAAGATATATTGTTGTCAAGGTAATTTTTTCACCAATGTGGTAGTTTTAATTTTTTATGAAGGGTTTTTTAAAATATGTAAATATTACCTAAGTTGAATTCAACTTTAAAGAGACATTTTGTTTGTACTGAAAACTTAATGAAGGAACATCTTTCTAAATGTTAACCTCATACCTTCCACAATTCCTCTTTTCATTCTCACAAAGGGCTAATGCTTTAAATATCAGCTCTGGAAACTCTTGACGTCAGCCAATTTACATTATCAACTTATTTGCTAAAACCAAAGTATCTTTTAGTACCCTCACTGATGCAACATCACAGTTTCTTTAAAAACTTACCCCTTTTGTTTTTGCATAGGGAACTGACTATGAAACTATAGATTAAGCATGTTGATAGCAGTAGGGCAAAAAAGGGAAATTAAATTATTTCTGAATTACATTCTACTTTTTGCTCAGTCGTAAATGTTAAACCCACAAGGGACTGCACTTTGTCAGAGAATATACACAACTGGATTTAGTGTGTGAGGGGAAGTACAGGTGATAATTATTGATTGAAAATGCCATGGGTAATTTTATTTGAAATTATGGACTGGGAATTGACTTTTTTTCCAACATGGTGAAGTAGTGATGTTTAATTATTATCAGTTTCTTCAACAGCAGGCTGCCACCTTACCATCAGGGACACTACCAACTGGCTTCAATGTCATTCCTGGTGTCACTGGACCAGGTAATTGTTAGAATTATGAATATTTCTTTCAATAATGTCTTGGTAACATTGCTATATTATTCATGTTAAACTGTTGTTATCAATTTGCAGTTCTTTTGTTTGACTTTGCTTAGATTAAAAGACATTTTCTTTTTCGGTAATGACCTTGGTTCTTGACTGTTGTAGGTGTGGCTCCTGGGACCATGGGTGCCCTTGTAGCTGCCTCAGTCATTGCTGCACAACAACAACAGCATCAAGCAGTTCAACAGACAGCAACATCACAAAATAACATAATAGGAGGCACAGGAGGTTTAGTGAACAGTAATGCTGTGTCTACAGGTGGTGCTACAAATACCTCTTCAATGATAGGAGTACAAGGTGTTCCAGGAGTCACTGGCATTGGTAAATATAGATAAAAATGATAACATTGACAATACTTTAATAATAATTATATTAATAATAATAACAATTATACTACTGATAATAATAATAATAATAATAAATGCTTGTATAACACCTATCCAATTCATGCTAGGTGAGTTACAAAATTAAGGAACAAAAAGAAACTAAATCAATATTTTAAAAAAATTGAAGTTGCTATGAAAAAAAGCCTTTTTCATATAATAGGTCTTCAGCTTAGATTTAAGGGTGTCTAAATTGTCACATGAGCGGATGTCATCAAGCAAAGTATTCCAGAGTTAGGGGGCAGAATAATCTAAGGCTTGAGACCTGTAGGACTTCAGATTATTGTTAACAGCATTTAGATGTGCAGTTGTTTATACTTGTAGCGAATACCGCATTAATACTCTAAGTCCTTGAAAATACACTTGTTGTAGTCATAGGGGAGTCTCTTAGTTGGTTCAAAAGGTGATAGATTCCAGTTGACATTATGGTGTGAAGAAGACTAACAGTTTGGAGTTGAAATGTTGTAATCAACATGTAAAGTGACTACATTTTGAGACAAATAACACAAGTCAATACAAAAAATTTCATTTCATCATTCATTTTAGGTATGAACATGCCTGGAATGGGTGTAGGAAATCTTGGTACTATGGGAGCTGCTGGTGCTCTCAGTATGGCTGGAATTCCTGGCCTTGGTAACATGACTGGTGTCTCAAGTGTTGGTGGTAACATTCAGACTGGAGATGCACTCACTCAAGCATACTCTGGAATACAACAGTATAATGGTAAGTAAGCATAGAGCATTTGCTCACTTTTAGCGGAACCCCACAATGTAAACCTTGCTCTGCTACCAGCATGGTTTTGAGTTTCATGGTTTGACTGAACTTGACCTCCAGGGCCCGGTTGTTCAAAACTGCGATTAGCGCTAATCACCGATTAAATTTAAGTCCCCGATTAGTTTCTGTTGTTCAAAGCCCGATTATTCCTAACCTTCGATCAAACCAAGGGTTAAATCTAACCCTGCTCGCTAGGTGGATTAAATCCTTAATCGGCAGATTAAAAAATAAAAATCACAACATGGCTGACTTGTTGTATGGTTGTGTTGGTGTTGATGGGCGAAGAAAAAGGAAGCAAAGAGAGTTTAGGAGCATCGGTTTCACGATAGATGGATATACAGACGAAGAATTAAGAGCAAGGCAGACTTTTTGGGCGCCATTTGTTTTTTTGTTTACATGGGAGTACATGTAAAAGGAAATAAGAAAGAAACAAAAGTCTAAAGTCCGTTAATTTTCACTTTGCTTTGTGTTTGTTAGCAAAGTATACATTTTATGCAAGGTATGGACATTGAGAGGTATTACAATAATGTTTCCATTTATAAACTTACCTGTTTCAAACCCCTGTAACCCAGTAAATGACGGTGTGTCACTGAACATGTTTATTATTTTTAAACTGGCTTCTGATGGGTTCGGGGGAGCAGGGCCACCACCTGTCTTCTTCTGTTCACTTTTAAAGGAACTGAATTCTCTTTTTGCGTGACTCTGGAGGTTTTTCCACTTGTCTCTTACTTCCTGCATTGATCTTGCTGTCACACCGACAGCGTTTACCGCCTCCGAGATTTCTTCCCAAATCTTGTCTTTTTTTGCATTTGTTATACTGTTGGTAAATTTACTTTGAAGAATGTCCATATTTTCTTCAAATTTTTTCCGTTAAAACGGAAATTTCAGCGGGTGAAAAGTTTGCTTTCCGCACTTTCTTCGCTGGAGAAGCCATATTGACAAAAATAAATTTCCGGCAATTTTATGACGTAAACTGGCACAAAACAAATTATAATTAATTAATATAATTCATTTTATGCTTAATCGCAGATTAGTAAATCGACCGAGTAATCTCCCTTTGAACAAACGTTTTTTAACCAACGATTAACTAACCCACGATTAAGAAATTTAATCGCCGATTAGGCCTAATCGGTGATTAGTTTAATCGCGGTTTTGAACAACCGGGCCCAGTATAGCAAATATATATGGCGAATCTTACTCTAAAACTAGTTAACAACTTCTGTACATGGTCACTAAAGAAATTGTTTCAGAGTTCACAGTCATGTGACATGAGATTACTCCTTTCAAATGTGCAGTAATGAAACAACCTTCCTTTACAGCAAGAGGTGACAAGTTTAAAGATAAGAGATTTAAGTGATAATTGTAAGTTTGAAGTTTGTTGGACCAGACTGTGCCCAACACTCAGTAGTTTTACCACTAGCTTAAAATCTCAATTGATGTAGTTGGTCACATACAAAAACTGAAGATTGTGCTTAGTTATGTCTAATCTTTTTTTCCTGCAGCACAATTTCCTGGTGTTTATGGTCAAACTATATTCCAACAGCAACAACTCCAAAGACAACCCCAAAAGGAAGGTATGCACAATTTCCTATGAGTTACTGTGTATTTACACTAAAGTATAGTCAATGGGACTATTGGTTGCCTGTTACATTTCACATGCCAATTACTTCTCTGCTAACTGTTCATTGTTTGCTGTTACTTAGGTCCTGAGGGAGCAAATTTATTTATTTATCACTTGCCTCAAGAGTTTACTGATGCTGACCTCATGCAGACATTTATGCCATTTGGCAATGTATTAAGTGCTAAAGTGTTTATAGATAAAAGCACAAACCTAAGCAAATGCTTTGGTAAGTTTTTGTACTTGCAATTAGGAATAAAGTTTTGCATGTGGTGCATTGCATTTTGTTGAACATTTGATCAACCAATTTGTTATAGCAAGAGATTAACTGTCTCAAAGTGCTTCTAAGGGGGAGTTTAAAAATTTTTGCCTCTTTCAAAAGTTCTTCTTACTTAAGTCACCATTACAAATCTTCAAGTTCTACAGGTAAGTAATATCTAGTTTAGAAAGGTTGAAATTTTGCTTTCTAATGGCATCATGTTTTGTGACATGGCATCAGTAATAAAAATAGTAGTTTAAAGATTTTAGTTATTCTGTCAACTCTTTTGAATAGTAAAATATCACAAACAAATAATTTCAGCTCTTACTGAGCACAAGTTTATGTAAACGCTATGAGAAAGGGATTGGCATCTTTGAATCGTGAACAATCTTACAAGTTACATTTTGTGTTTCTTGGCACAGAGTACTTTAACTAACATGTGTTTCTTTTAAGAGGGTTTTACAGCTGTCGGTTTTCGTATTTTGAGATAGATGTGTGTTAATGGTTCTTTTTGTTCTACTGGTTTTCCTTCTCCTTCTACCTGAGGTCAAAATATTCTTCCAAGTTGAACAAAACTAGGAAATGAAACTTTGCATGTGATAATTACTCTCAGTAGTTAGATCTCTCCAATTCTACCCATTCACTTGGCCCACCAGGCCATCATTACACTAGCCATGCAAACTGGCACTAATGAGACAACATTTCTCAATAGTTGTGCCTGGTTGTAAGCAGATATTTGCTCTTTCTGTATTGCAGGCTTTGTCAGTTATGATAACCCAGTCTCTGCTCAGAATGCCATTACATCCATGAATGGTTTTCAGATAGGGACAAAGAGACTCAAAGTTCAGCTTAAAAGACCAAAAGATGCAAATAGACCCTACTAACCCCTGGTGAGTAAACTATGTTTATTATCGTCTAATGCCATTTGTGCAAGCCTTGAGTGCCATAGTTTACTGACTAAAAAAATCACATTTTCATTCTTGTGTCATCCAGGCAGCTTTTAAATTTTACTTTGTGCTACCAAGACATCCCTCAGAGGTCTGCCTCCAGTTTCAGGCAAAGTGCGTCTGTGTCAAGTTTTCATTCCCTTCCTCTCATTACACATCATTACTTTCATAACTCATGCAAACCTTTTAATACTCAGTTGTTGCTAAAAAATGGGAGGACTGCCCTCATTGGAACACTTATGCTCATGACCATTCCTTCAGCCTTAACTTGCAGAATTCTTGACTGTGCACTAGTATGGGGAGTTTTCCATTGAATCTTGTTAATCTGGAGATAGGAAAAATATTGTTAGTTCCTTGTTAATCTTACCTTCTGCGAAATGAAAGATTTTGAGCCCTTGATATGACTGACTATGAATAAAACTTAAGCCCTGGAAATAGATTAAGAGACTTAAACGTATAAAGAATTATAAATGGCTATTTAAGACAACTTTTTCAGTGAAAGAAGGTGATGTAGATATAAACAAAACCCAATTGTCACAAGGGGTTGGGAGATGTGTCCTTTTGTATTGTTAGAATTCAGGTTTCATGGGGGAAGCCACTTAAGTGCACAAAGCATCAATAATGTTTTTAGCTGTTAGTTGTAATCGTGGAGGAATCCACCTGTTAGGAAAGAGTGCAGAGGTTATGGCAGCAGGATAAAGAAACGGTCTGTGTCTATTGGACGCACCGTGGAACACATATGAATTCTTCCTTTGTGGGTGTTTATTTTGGTTGGAACTCATTGAAAAATGGGTTCTATTACTGCTGTATAAACACGTGCCAAAGAGCAGGGTCGCTTACTGTTCTTTGACCAGTGTAACTAGTATGACTGAGTTTGGTTTGTATCCCAGAAGCCTGAAGTTTCCGCTAACGTGCAATGAAAAAATTCGGCGCAGGATTTCTTGGATTTCTAGATGAATGGTGAGAGTTATGACTGGCGAATTACTGACAATTAGAGCTCATTTCTGGCAGAAATATTGATGAGGACAGACTGTCGTAGAGTGTGCTGTGGTGGTAGTAATCATAGTCAAGTGCTTGTAGTAAATGTGTGTCATCGTGCAGCGCTTCTAACACGTTCCCTTGTCTTTGCCTCGCCTAGATCACGTGACTGTGTACGTTTGTTCTTCGTCTTGGCGGTGACCTTTGCGCATGTGCTTTTTGTGTACCACAGTTGGTGACGTCACTTGTGACGTTTATATATCGTCACTGTTGGTGTTGGGATTCAGTAATACGTCACTGTGAAGCAGTTAAACGTCGTTGTTGAATACGTAAAATCGGTGCATGTTAGTTAAGCGGTTTTGTTAACTAGTTTCCAGTCCAGTTGTGGCGTTATTTGTCATGTGACTTTTCATATTTTGTCAGGCGAGCTCACTGTTTACTATTTATAGAGCGCGTTTCGTGTTAATGGTTAATGTTATCGTCCAACTATGGGCTCTAGTGTGTTATCAGTGGTTGTGCAGGTTTTATAAAAGCCTTGTATTGTCAGTGAGGTATAGATGGCGTTTGTACGAGCCTGACTTTTAAATAATAAAAGAAATTCACCTTTAGAATCGCGGTTCTTCTGTGTTGTTTGTGTTTTTTAGTTTGAATGGACAAAGATACGCTTATATGTAAGAGAAGGAAGGGAACAATCACAGCCGCCATTAAAAGGCAGACAAAGCTCTGACCATCAAATTAAAGTCAGTACATTCTTTGATCAAAAGTAGGAGGGTTAGTTTCTTTATTCGATTCGGGCTTTTTGAATTTAAGGTGATATTTTTTATTAGATTGGTTTGTATATTCAGGGAAAATATACAAATATACTGAGAAATAGTGATCCCAACTCTTGAAACTGCACCTATGAGGTTCAATTGTGAGCTTAAAAAAAAAGGAAAAAATTGCGCCAAAAAGGGTGGACTCTCAGAAAATCTAGGTAAAGAACAAGGAACCAATCAAAAACTTGACCATTGGTGGTAATATTATGGTGGCGGTGAAGTGCGTAGGTGGTGTAAAGTTACATAATGTATCACAGCTCAGTACTAGAGACCGTCTCGTTTTTTGTTTTTTTTTCTGTTTGTTTGAGACTTTGACGGCAATTACAAACTTTAAGGGTGGCATTTGTCGTGTGTAAGTGATAAGGGAGGTTTTTTGGCAGCTCGTATAATAAACGTACTGCTGAACAAGAAATAAATTTTCAGATACTAGATACGAGTCGTCTTTTTAACTCCATTCCCTAAGATTGGAGATTGCTAAATGATAAAAAATTATCCTTTTAAATATCATTCGGGACGAATGATCATGAAGATGGATTGAAAATCTTTTGGGTGGGAAACGATATAATTTCTCAGTTTTCTTTCCTATCTGGCTAGAGAATGATGCGTAACTTATATGAAATAGCTATGAAATTATGCGAGACTAAATCAATATTTCATGTAAAAATGAAATCTAAATAAATTTCATCTACTTAGATTTTCCGTTTTTATTGTGGGTTTAATAGGTGTGTCAGATTTTTTTAAAATACGGTTCTAAATCGTGACAGGTCTTCATGTGTCAACTAAAGGCGGATTTCATAACAGAAATTTGTTCTGGAAAATTTTTGACATCAATCAATTTTGCTCATCATTGGCAGACGTAAATAAAAAAATCATTGTTTATACCCATTGATACTTTGAATTTTAGGAGGAAGATAAAGTGTTTTTTTTTTTCGTTTTCATAATAATACCGGCGCAGTCGGTGTCAACAACTCGGAGATGAAAAACAATTTAAATTAGAAATAAGGATTAACAAGGCTTGAAGCAGGATAGAAAAAGGCGAACAAAGAAATTATGATGAAAATTTAATACAATATATTTGCAGAATTTACATTAGAATTAGTTTCATATCCTTCCATCGTTTCTTCCTACCATTTTTTGAGATAAATTTTTCCATCGGGCCAGTGCAAAGACGAGTAAAAACAGGAGCTTGGAGTATTCAACTGAAGAAGGACAATCTTCATTTGTTCTGTTACTCCTCGCTGTGCCGAACATGATACTCAGAGGTTACCTCCAGTGTTCCCAGTGAGCTGAAAATTGATATTTATTTTTGTTGCATTGCTTTTAAGAGAAAAGCACAGAGGAACCCCGGCCAGGGTAGAAAACCGAACCTTACCGAAAGAAATATCTGAGGAAGTCGATACACGGAACCAGAGAAACTATAAAAAATGGATTTCGGTCCAAACTAAGTGAAGTTATATCAGCACTCTTTGAGAGCTAAACTACATAGGATTTTCTCAATATTAATCTCAAGAGACTGAACACCTGCCGATGTACTAGACACGTTCACAATTGAAAAATTTGAATTAGAATTATGTTCCTGATTCATCAGCTAGAAATTAAAAATGTGGGATGCCCTTATAGATGTGTATTATACGCTTGCCTTCTCTCGTTTATTCTAACTGACTTTTTTCTTCCTTTATGCGGTAGAAACTTTCTCAAGAAATACTGAAACGTGGCTTGAAATTTTGCAAACCTGCAGGAATATAACACTGGATTCAAAGCAGAATTTAAGATAGCAAACACTTGCGTTGCATAGGTGCAAACCATCACCGTTTTTCGATGACTGTGGCAACCTTTGCAAAAGTATATCACGAATTGATTTCCCAGCCATGGGATAAGACAGAGGTAAAATACAAAAATAACTGAAAGGATAACTTTGAAAACTTTTTTCTCTCTCTGATAAGCCAAAGCTGTATTTGATTGTGAAGTACTAACTACTATTCTTGACCGAGAGTGTTTGGAAAGATTTCTCAGAGTAATGAAGTATAGAATACAAATGCATTCAGAGCAAATAAACAGCAGTACAACAGAAACAAACCAAATAAGAAGGAAATATTGTTGCAGGAGGCTGAATGTTAATGCATAGCAAATAGAACACACCCATATAGCGCTAGATGCGATCGTCACTGTCTTTTTGGTTATTATCACTCGATATTTTAGAGGTGTTGCCAATGCATAGTACCTGTCGATAGTCAGCAGCAACACATTGCCAACAGAGACTACCAAGGACGAACAACTAAGTATCACAATGATGTATCCTAAAGATGGAGCTGCCTTTCCAATTCGGAAAAACCACACGGCTGCCCCAGGGCCAATCATCAACCCCACAATCAAGTCCGCTTCTGATAATGACAAAAGTATGAGGTTTGAAGGAGAGTTTTTCAGGATCTTCAAAGGGTCTTTGTAGACTGCAATGATTACAAGTGCATTCCCCACCACAGTTATCAGTGATAACAGTGAGTAGATGAAGCCAAAAATCGTCGCCATTCCACGAGACTCAGGGGCTTTCAGCTCTTCAAAAAATACGTCTATGGCTGATTGTACTGAGGCGTTCCAGAAATTCATGTGCCCTAGCAGTGCCGCCATGATATTTCCTGTGGCTTCTGAGGCCGAGAGAACGTAGAGTTCGAAGATTTAATGAGATTTTTGTATAGAAAGTGAATTAATCTTCTTTTACTGTGCCGTCAGCTTTCGTGGAAATTCTCGATTTTCAGTATGACTTTGCTTAGAGTTTTCTTTATCTCTCAATAATTGGTGTAAAGGAAAAGAATGGTTGTAATTAAATTTACCGTTAATGTTCTGTTCATTTAAAGAAAAACTAGGATTGTACTTGCGTCAGCTAGCGGAAGTGTGATGACATCTTTCAGATAGAAACGAATATTAACTGATTTCGCATGTAATGTTGTTTTTAAAGGGAACACTTTCATTGGAGGGTTTGTCAACTGTGCATTAGTATACAAGTACAGATATAATATATATGCAAATATTGTTTATTTAGATATAAACTTAAAAGGCTGGAAACATAATTAAACTTTAAAAATAATGTGACCTTAAAATATTTGCAGCACGAAAGGTGATCTAATGGATAACCTAAGATGAATGTAATGCCGTTAAGGGTATAGGACCGTGGTGACTTTTCTGATAAAATTATTTATTATTTTTTTGCGGTTGAATTTTATTTTAAAGTGTTGGACATTAACGCCATATTACTGAGTAATGATAAAGAGGAAGGAAAGGAACAAATGACTTTTTGTTTGTTGAATTTGGTCGAAATTAGAGAAAGCGGGTTCTTTAATTATTTTTCATTGAATCCAAGAGAATCCTCTCATGTCGAATCGTGATGATTGTCGACAGAACATTCTTCATTTTTCAAAGGAAGTCGACAAGGTGGACTCTTCCGCGTAAGGTTCCTCGTTAGTTATAGTAATACAGACAGAGTGGCGGATTATGCGAGGGAAGGAAGGAGTAGACTGATCATTTATTTATCACCTGGCAGATGTGGAGATAGGATTTTGTTGTGTCACTATAAAATTTATCTGATCCCCCTATAAGGCTCTGTAATATTGTTATGATCCCCCTCATTGGCAGTCAATTTTCTAAATTCCCCCCTTTATACATTGTTGTTGACGGCTGATACCTCCTCTGTCCCCCCTGAAAACCATGTGATCCCCATAAAATACTTCGGCCCCCCCCCCCCCCCCCCAAGTGTCATGAATTATGATAGGTCGCTACGTTGGAAGGACTCTCTAAGACTGATACAGGCAGATGGGTTGATTTAGGGACAAAACTTCTACAAGCAGACTGGTTAATTCAGAGAATGAATCTGACATAGCCAATGGGGCTGGGCGAGAGGGTGGAGAAGGTTTGTACCGCGGGCAAAGCTGATTCAGACTGATGCGGGGTAACGCGAAGATGGAACACAGGGCATGGCTGTTGGGCTGGTTTGGTGGGTGGTCTTGTGCACTGGTACAGTTTGTGAAGCTGATGCAGGCAGACGAACTCGATGAGTATTTGAGTCGTTTGTTGCACAAAGTGCGGCAAATCATGTCAGCTTGTGTGAGAGGAATCGCGTCGTCCTTCATCCTAGCGTGAAGGTAGTAACAAGGGCGGTATGTGTAAAATTATTAGTAAGAATAATACATACCACAAAATTAGCCACTGGTTTTAACTAACAGGTGTATAGTTACAAAAACTTCACAGCTACGGGACCAAAAAAATTCCCTTTTTTAAAGAAAATTTGCAAAATTGTCTGTCGATGTTAGAGAGAACTTCTTATCTGTCTCTATTTCTGTGAAATAATCTCACATGTGATGAGGGCAATTTTCGTTGCCATTTCTATTTTTTCACGTTGTTTTGAGACTATTAGTGATATCGAATCACCACCTAACCGTGGAGAAAGTGATCTGACAGGTTTGAAACGAGGATGGTTACAATAACACATGAGCAGAACATCATTTACAACGAAACAGAGGAAGACAAAATTACCTTACTTACAGGAAATGTCTGGCATCTCGCGTTGTGAGCTCTAGGGTCGGCCTTAAAGAAAAAGGCATTTGATGATAAACATCTTTAGCCAAGCCTAAAACCGGTGCTCTTGTTAGTTTATTTTCCAGCCCTTCAGTACAATAAAAACTGTAATAAAACTCTTCAGCACTGTCTGTAGAAGAGTTTCTTCAAGGGGATTTAGGGACCAGTCCGGGGGGGGTGGGGAGGGGGGGAAGAATTGACGAGGTCTGGAACCTGGGGACGATGTTCTGACAACTTACAAAGCGATCAACGCGCATGCTAGTCAGTGGTATCTTCAAGCAGCTGAGGACCTTCGTTGTTATTCCTAATGTTTTGAGCAAATTTTCGAAGATAGGGAATGTTCTTCAGATGAAGCATATGATGTCAGCATCAATTGAAATTACATTGTATTGAGCGTGACTGATAATTTTGGGAAAATGAGCCAAAAATGAAAGAAACGACTGGCTGTGTCACGATTAAATTGACTTGATACTCCATAAGGCTCTGTAATATTCTCATGATTTGCCCCCCCCCCCCACCTCATTGGCAGTCAATTGGAAGTTAAATGTCCATATTCCCCCTTTTGTACTCTGTTGGCGACGACTGATCCCCCTTCTATGAAAACCATTTGCTCCCCCCAAAATCCTCCATAATAGGTAATGACTAGTTCTTTCCACATCAAGCATGATTATACCGCCATCGTTAACCTACTACGGCTTTGCAGAACGTTCCAGGGGAAAAAGTTAACGGTTCTTTCTTTCGTTGAAAACAAATGCTTTGTCTCGTAATGTTTATCTTGCTCTAAGAGGAATCCTCCTGTTTGTCAAGGGAAAGGTTGTGTCAACAGGGAAAATGTAAACGCACCGGTGAGGTACGTTTACATTTGAGGGCCATGCCTTTTTCTTCGTTGAGCTAGCTAAAGTACGTCAGTAAATCTTTCTAACATTTGCATTTATGGACATATTCAGTCTGAAGGTTTTTTTTCGGTTCATATGCCAATTTTCTTATTTATTTTCGCCAACAGCCACTGAAATATTATTTTATTATATCATAATCTTAGAATATATCAGTCGCGATAGAGTAGCAGATAGCAGACACTTTAAACTTTGGAACAAAATTTTAAAGTTATTGTGAGATTTTCTAGATCTTGGGTTATTCCAGAGAATAATTTTTGGTAGTTGATATTAAGACCCTAAAGAGTGTACTAAGACAAATTATCTGCATAACAAAAGAGTGGCATTTTTAATTTTTATTTCTGACAGATGCAAAGAAATAGACACGGTTTTTGTTCTCAAAGTCACTTCTGTCACTGAAAGCAAGTAACAAATTAAAGTATTTCTCTTTTGGTACACATCTTTATAGTGTTTAAACAGCCCGCTGAGGAAATGGAAATTTTTTTTTGTTTATTTTAGAACAGATATAATAACGGTGTTCTGTTTAGGTTTAATGTTGTAAATTGTTGCTTTCGGCTGGCAAATTCCTTCGTATTTGCTTAAGGAAGCTTATGACAACTGAGTCATACTATTGTTCAAAGTTGGAGACAGCTGAGTAATTTTCACCGTCCGTCAACTGGCAATTGGTAACATTAAAACGTAAAAGGATAATTTTCGAATTCTTCTTCGGAAAATAACGCATCAAGACGCTGGGCAAAGAAAACCACGGAAACCTTAAATATAGGCTTCAGGAATAGTTTCCATCCCCGGTTCTTCGCCAATTAGCGGAAGACTGATAAAGTAAATTACCAACTATATACTTATCACTGAACACGCCTTCAAATTACAAGAAATAGATCCTGAACAGGTCTCGTCATTAGCGATGCTGACTCGTTTATTAGCTATTTTTATTTTGTGGTGGATTTGGGTCGCGAAGACATATATTTTATTCGAAATTTTTGTTGTGTAGTATGGTTGAGTATTTTTACGAGTTGTGCCGTAGTTTGACAAGATCTTAGGGCAAGTCAAAATACAAACAACGAGTTTTGAAAAATTGAACTTGGAGCCACCCCGCAATTTCAATCAGCTTCATGGAGATAGTAAGTAAGTAAAGCCTTTTTTTAACAAGGGTGGCACAAAATGGTAATTGAAAAATCCTAATTAACCAGTGTTTAAAATTTAAACAGACATTAGGAAATGTTTAAAATCTTCTTCTTCAAACCATAGAATAATTTTAAATATGTAGAAATAAGTTCACGCAAAATGTTATGATCAAGTAAAACAATAATCCTGGCAGGTGAGCTGTAATTTTACCAATTGCAGTGAAAAGGGGCTGGAAAAAAAGGAAAAATTGAACCTTCGAAGGAGTTCGAACCCGAGGCTTCCGGGTACAAGTTAGTCTCAAATACCAACTGAGCCACGATTGCGATTGCTTAAATTGCTAATCATCTGCGAGTATCATTGCTTTCCTTGATGTTTTAAAGCTTAGTGTTGTAAAACTGATGCTCAGTGAATTGTCCACTTTGATTATTTCGCCTTTTCAACAAGTGCATGAAAGTCTCCCGATATTTTGGAAACCTCCATGCGTATATGAATGGATTCACACCCGAGTTTGCGTGCATTAAACTTGTTGAAACAACGTAACTCAAACATAAGTTAGATAAATCGTTAAAACAAGGCAGACAGAAATAGATAAGAAAGTGAGTCACAAACCAAGGTATGAAACAAAATAGATAGGCGCAAATGACAACTGCTATAGCTTTGCAAAGCCCTCTTTCCCGTTGAAGGATCATCTGACGTTGAGTTGTTGATTGGTGTGTAAATTCCGACTTCTGGCAATACGAATGGAAGCGTTTTACCATCACAGCAGACATTACAGATATGCCAAGGAGAATGCTGATAATTTGAATATTGTACGCAGTTTGCATTATAATAAAATATTGGTGTTGCAATAAGCCAAAGATAATTCCAAAGATGAAGAAATAGATCCAACAGCTAACAATAGCAACACTGATTCTTTTAGGTGTGACAACAGCTCGATACTGGAGCGGTGTTACAATGGCAAAGAATCTATCAAGTGTTAGAAGGAAGATGTGACCAACGCTAACGTTGACGAAGACTGCACTGACCGCCAAGTATGGAATTCGGGGCTTTTTGAAATGAAACATGGACCAACCCCAAGACGTGGCTGTAGGAAGTAGAAATGATCCAACAAGAAAATCGGCAGTGGCCATTGATAACACGATCAACCCAGATGGCGATCTGCGAAGCTTCTTTAGAGGATCTTTCCAA